GAAAGACAGTGGTTCCTGGCTCAGGAAAATCGTCTCAGAAACATGTGGAATGATATTGAGCTGCTAACAAATGATGATACAGGAAGTGGGTACCTAAATGTTGGTTCAAGACAAGAACATGGAACTGCTTTATATCAAGTAGATCTGCTAGTGAAGATCTCCTCTGAAAAGGTAATGATTGTCACATGGACTGTTTCTTTCACAAAATTTCTACCAAGTGCTTAGGAGGCCTGTTTTGTGAATGAATATAGCACTTTCTCAGGGAATCAGTATTCAGTTTCGGATTGCCAGACATTCCCACCTGAATTTCTCCTCCATCATCTTAGGATCAGTATTTTCAAAATTGAACTTTTCATAGCTCCTCTTGACATTTAGCACTTACAAAATGTATATAAATTGATACAAAGAGTATCTACCACCAGCTTAGGAGCTAAAACATTACTAATAGAGTTGAAGGCTCCAGGGGTCCCAGCCTGATCCCATGCTCCTCCTGTACCTCACCCCTGAGTTAAGCACCCTACTGAATTTGAAGTTTATCCTTTCCATGAATTTCTTTCTACATTTTAACTTTCTTCTTCCTTTTTCTTTTTTTGAGGCAGAGTCTGGCTTTTACACCCAGGCTGGTGTGCAGTGGTGTCGTAATAGCTCATTGCAACCTCAAACTCCTGGGCTCAAGAGATCCACCTGCCTCAGCATCCCAAGTAGCTGGGACTACAGGTGTACACCACCATACCTGGCTAGTTTCTTATTTTTTGTAGAGATGGGGGTCTCACTCTTGCTCAGGCTGGTCTTGAACTCCCTGCCTCAAGTGATCCTCCCACCTTGGCCTCCCAGAGTGATAGGATTACAGGCGTGAGCCACCATGCCCAGCCAACTTTCTTTCTCTTCAGCTTCCTACATAGGACCCTAGATGGATTTAGGATATACTATGCAAAGAAAAACTTGATGACTAATTAGATAGATGGGCTAAAGAAAAAAGGCCTGTCACACCGAATTTTAAAGTTGGGTGTTTG